CAATAGGCTTCTATATTCTTGAATATGTATACATTATACATATTATATAGAGATAAATACAGAAGTGTATGTATATATATAAGTATACATATATGTATGTATATATGTATATATATATATATATATATATATAGATATATATACAGGTATGTATGTATGTATGTATGTAGGTCTAAGTATATGTGTATGTATGTAGGTCTAAGTATATGTGTATGTGAATGTATGTGTATATAAATATTTATATTTTAGTAAAAGCGACTTTCATGAAAATTCGTGGTAGAGGGTGCAGGGTGCTTTCCGAGTATCCAGGGTGACAAGGGGTCTTGACCGCTCAAGTTCTTGACCCCTGTGTCTAGGCTAGAGAGACCCTCTATGGACATAGTTATATAGTTGAGAGGGAATACGAATCTAGTATCCATATGTTAGGGATAATTACACGAGTCTACGTAGATTCAGCTCCGTTTATGCGTATCTGAGTACATATTTTTTCATTTTATATTTGTCCAAATCAATTTAGACTACAGAACCTGTAAACATATACTGTGAGCATACAAAACCCTATGGTTGTCATAGGACGCTATACTATCACTTCTGGCATAAATAAGCAAAATCTGGATCATGTTTGATTCCGTGAAGGGCACTACCGCCTTCAGAGCGTTTCAGGTACTTTCTGATCAAATGTTGGGATGTTGGTAAATGTATCTGGACTGTTGTGTTCGTTTACCAGTATTCCCTATAAGAACAACATGGGTTCTTTTTCCTTCCCCTCCCCGGTCCATATATCTCTTTTGCCGCCTATCAATCTGTCGTAAGTACGATATCTGTCGAAAGCTTGTGGGAAAGAATGATTCATTGCTGATAGTCTACAAAACAGATAGTTATTCTGATGAGTTGAGGATAGGAGCTAGTTGGCTCGTACATTGACAATCAGTCACTTCCGATTTGCAACAGCTATTTTCGTCGAATTAGTATCGGTATTTTAGATAACTAAAAGTCCGGCATTTCCAGATCGAATGTTGGGATGTTGGTATATGTATTTGGAGTTGTGTTCGTTTAACAGTATTCCCTATATGAGTAACATATGAATTGAAATTCGCGCACGCAGATCGAAATTTGCGTTCTGCTTCCTTCCCCCCTGCGGTCCAAAAATATATTTTGCAGTCCATCTATCTGTCGTGAGTAGGATCTCAGTTAAAAGCTTGTGGGGAAGAATTTATCATTGCTGATAGTCTACAAACCAGATGGTTATTCTTTTCAGTTTGAAGAGAATAGCAAATTGGCTTGTACATCGACAACCAGTCGCTTCCGATTTACAACAACTATATACGCCGAATTGTTATCGGTATTATTGATAATTAAAAGAATGTGGATTCTATGATGCCAGTATATTAATTATGAGAGAATTTAGAGGACTAAATCTGTGATTTTGAAGCTTTCGTGGTTTCACTCGAGTACAAACAATGCAGTATACGCAGAAGTATAGTTCACAAGTGCAGGACGTGTGAATTTAGCCGCAAAGCGTCCTTACAGCTTCTTAAATGCGGTAACTAGGAAAGATCTACTGCAAAACACAAACAATTTTTATTGCAAGTATAGCAGCAGAGCGCGGTATCGTAAGCTATGTCAACCTACGTGAGACGCCATATGAACACCAGCGCGCACATCAGCGTGCACTATGTAAAGCTCAATATTGATACTCGGTTAATACTTAACAACTGCTTATAAGGCCATGACTACGATTATGTTTCCACGTGCGTGACTACGAACGCGTAAGCGCACGCACTGAAAAATAAAACCCAATGGTACTAGGGTAAATCAGCTCACAGATGCGAATTGAGCGCAAAGATATTCGGGAACGATCCGACTAAACCACCTTGATTGTTCAATGGCAGAAGGTCGCTGTTCAAAGTTCGCGATTCTGTACGACAACAAATCGCTGGGAGCTGTGTTTGAAGATGGTCATGTTGATGGGTTCGTCGTCGTTTCCTTCCACAAGCTTGACTTCTCAAACTTTCATCAGTCTTGGCAGAATGGCGGCAAATGTCCCCAGCGAATGCGTGAGGCTTCTTCCGTGCGTGTTAACAGCATTATTGGATGCGACATAATCCTTTTTTTTTTATCCACGGAGTATGCGTGTATACATAACGTCCGAATCCAATGCTACTTGAAACTTCCTCTCGCAACTTACCTTCAGAGTAGTTACAGTGTCCATACCTTAGCTGATTTATTGTTTAACCATGAAGGTAAATTGCGGGAAGAAGTTGAAAACAACGAGTGGACACGGACATCACGAACATACGCATACCTTTACACTTGATCCAACGCGGCGCAACAGTTTAAACAGAAACTTCGATTGCTACTTCGAACCAAGCCTGGCAGCCAGACATACTATTCATCGATTGTTAGCAGATCACTTAAATGTACCAGCGCTAATGTTTGCCTCAAGGCAGTACACATTGAGAGACATAGCTAAAGTATTCGTTCCTCTGACGAGTTCATGTCTAAGCGCTGGCCATTTTTGGGCGATGGCTGGATGGCTAACAGGCCACCCAACCGTGAAATCACTTTTATATATAA